TACTTTCCTCTTGTCCCACTATCATGCTCAGCCTTCATTTGGGTTTCAGTAATTCCTCTCGGTTACATTGCCCTTGATCCAGCCCTACCAGGCCTCTTACACCCTCCTCATCACTGATTTTGGATCACTTTTTGTTCCCTTGTCCCTGGGTTTGTTAACACCACTTCCTTTCCCCCACCCAACTCCTCTCCCATGTCCCCCCAGAACCGTGGGTCCATTGTTTTCTCCTCCAGATTGTTTGTCCCACCTATCCTATCTAGATAGACCTGCAGAGATAATAACAGGCACAGAAACAAGACAGAGCAAAACAAAGCATCAAAAAGAAACAAAACAACAAACCAATGACAAAAAAAAGAAAAGCCTGTAAATAGTTCAAGGTCTGTTTGTTGACCTTTAGGAGTGTTTTCCGGTCGAGTCTGATGGGGTGCCTCACCTTGCTCTGCCCCCCTTGCTGTTCTGTTGCACGGCCTTATAGTGTTTGGCCTCGGTGTGGTGGGGTCAGATCAGGCGCAGTTTCCACATTGTGTCTCCAGCGTTGTCCCCTGCAGGGCTATTGGTCGGTGAGGAATGTCGTGTGGCCCCAACTTTTTTTTTTAAGAAGCTTGAGAGAAAGATGAAGCATTGAGGGGCTGCAGGAGACGCTGCCGAGCAACTGGCAAGATGAGTGGGCACATGGGAGGCAGACCCAGCGAGCGCTGACGTCCGTGCGTGTGCAGAGGCTCCCTGCTACATTGAGCTCTGCTTCCTCTTAATCCTTCCGTCTGTGGTCCAGATTCTCCTAATACTTCAGAACATATGGACCTAGTTAATTGGCATTCCTAGCATTTTAAAATAAGGATTTGCACGTAGGAGTTTTGAATGGGAAGAATGAAGTTTAAAAAGGGAACAGAAGGTTTCAATGGGTGGCTCAAGGAGACAGCAGCGTACAATGAAATGTTCAAAGAATTGGAGCTAGAAACACAAAAGGGAAGAATATGTTCAGCATTTCTCGAGTTGGAAGAACTGAAGGGGAAAAAAATCAAGTCTCCAGTTGCAGGATTGAAGTTTGTGCAAAAAAATTGAACCACACAGAGCTCCGCATCAAGAGAAGAGGGAAAAAGTACAGAGGGACACGGTACCAAAATCACTGGTCGACACTCAGTCATTTCAGGAGGTCGCGTATGATCAAGAACGGATGCCGTTGAAGGAAGAAGTCCAAGCTAAACCGAAGACATTAACAAAAACCAGGCTCCAGGAATTGACAGAAGATCAATTCAGATGTTTCAATAAATAATTGTGATGCTAGAAGCACTCACTTTTCATGCCAAAAAATGGTGGAACACCGTCATCCATCTGGCCCACTGCCTGGGAGAGATTAAGAAATGAAATGACACATTGCATTGAACATCTTTCAACTGCAGAAGACCTCCTGAGAGTGCTGAAAAAAACAGAGGTGTCACTTTGAAGTTGAAGGTGCGCATGACCCAAGTCATGGTATTGTCAATGTCCTCCTATTGAGACAAGAACTGGGCAGTGTGTAAAGAAGCCTGGAGAATACTTGATGGCATCAAATGTGCTGTGGCTAGAGAATGTAGACTATACCGTGGACTGCAGAAGAACAAACAAGTTTGTCTTGGAAGATATGCAGCGAAGAGTACGCCATAGAAGGTGGAGTGGTGAGACCCTGTTAACAGACGTGGCACTTGTAATCAGGAGGGACCAGTCCCTGGATTGGCACTAACTGCCACCATGGACCAATAACTAACATAATAATAAACAGAGCTTGTGATGATCAAAGTAGACTTTTTTTTTTGAGATTTTTTTAAATTATATTTTACTGGCCTGGTGGCAAAAGAAACTTTTGTCGCTATTTCTATTAATCCCTACCTTATTTTTGTAATCAAAGATTGATCTGTCCCCCCCAAAAAGCACATATTTGCTTGATTTCTGATCACATTTTAATACACATTGATATAGATATTAAAGGGTTTGTGCCTAAATTCCATGCTTATTGTGAAAAGTGAAACTTTACACCCGAATTTATTTTAACCACCAAGATAATTTTCAGGTGGAAAAGAAAAGGTCTCAATAACTGGTAAGTTTTTCCGTTTTAGAGTAAATGGAAAAGTCTGTGTAAAACAACCTAGCCCAAGATAGAGCTGAGACACTCATCAAACGTTAATGCTGCTTCTATTGTACACCGGTGCTTTTATTTCATTGTCAGGTGACTAAAACTCTGAGAACCACGTTGGAATTCTTTCACACACACCTAGTTGATTCCATCGGAAAGGTCCAGTAGCAGAGATCCGTGGTCTTTATCTGTGGAGGGCCTTGTTGTTGCTGGGGCTGTCGAACAGGTTCCGACTCACCGGCGCCCTCTGCACAGCTAGTGACAGGCCGCCCTGCCCTGTGCAAGTCTCACAGCTCCTGCTCTCCCTGACCCGTTGCCGCCCGCCGCACTGTCACAATCCACTGCATGGAGGGTCGTCCTCTTTTCCACTGCCCCTCTTCTTCACAAAGCATGATACCCTTGCCCAGAGACTTGTCACTTTTGCTAAATGTCCCAGGTAAACGAGATGGGCTCTGGTCCTCCGTCTAATGAGCATTCTGGCTGTCCTCCTCCCAAGACAGGTTTGTTTCTTCTGCCGCCCACGGCATAGCCCGTGTATGCCCGTGTTCTCCGCAGCACCTTCGTTCAGCTGCAGCCGTTCTCCGCCGGTCTTCCTTACGCCCTGTGAGTTTCCACAGGCAGACGAGGCCGCTGACGTCTTTGCTTCTTAGCACTTCACAGAGGTCTTCTGCAGTAGCTCTGCCCAGTTCCTTACGTCATTGGATTTCTCCGTTATGTGTTGATTTGGGGCCCAAGTAAA